AGGAGTAATGTAATTAATGAGCCAATTCAATTTACCAAGAGAGTGAAAGTTGCTTAATAACAGAGAATCGTTGAATGTAGTAGACCAATTCTCCTACTCTCTTGCAACAGAAATTGAATTCAGGCTGGTTTCAAGTCTCTCAGCTTGCCAGAATTTATCCATGGCCCAGTTGTTCAAAGGTAGTTAAAGTTCTTTGTCAAATAAATTGTAGTAAAACCAAAATTTATTTCTTAGGTTTAATTCAACAAAACATAGCAATACACCTGATGACAATCTATATAACCTTTCATTAAGTAACAAATTCTATCTTTTTCACCTAAGAAAGCTGTAAAATATAAATACTTTTATCAGGAATGATGCTTAAAATCTTGCACTGAATAACTAAGAGTCTCATTACAACATGGAAGAGTGTATAACAAATAAACAATATTCACCTCATCAGTTCAACACAAATGTTTGCAGCAGAAAAACTATCAAATTTTTTTTTATATTGCTTTTTCAGAATCCACAGCATTTTTATTGCAAATGTGTTGGGGTGGTGGGGGCAGGAGGTGATGGTAATACCATTTGTCCATACAAGAAGCTATCAAAATTCATGGGCAAATAAACGATGACAATTGTGAATCTAACCATTTCTATCATGCAATTAATTATCATTTATTTATTGAATTATAGAAAAATATATACAAAATAGAAGATAATCATAATATCCAAAGATATTTGAATGACTATTTTGGCCAAAATGTGTTGTTTTGCCCATCTTGATTGAAGTTCAGAGATGAGACATTTATCAGGAAACATTTAAGATTCTTGTTCTTATCATCCACCAAGAGTTGCTTAGTCAGGAGGAGGTACCATTTCTGGATGGATGAATCTAGATCTGGGTATCAAAGATTCACACAAACAATTGTGTTTGCCAAGTACAGGAGGGAAAAATACCCTGCCATTGATTAGGTTTAACATGCAAAATCTCTCAATAAATGTTCAAGACTAATTATTTTCCAATTTGCGGGAGGATCACTTTATTTTCTATTTTTTTTTAAATAATCATTTCACCCCAAACAAGGCAGTAAAGCCACTAAAACACAAGAGGTTACCAAATGTGAAAGAATACAAAAAAAGAGAAACATTAAGGAGTGAGAACAATTGAAGAGTAATCAAGAAGACAGTAGATAATGATTGATATTGCATTAAAAATTTTGAAGATCAAATTTGGCTGGGAAGCAAGAAGACGGAAGAGAGTTCCACAAATGATAAAAGAAACTGACTGTTAGCAAAGGACTTATGGTTACATCTTGCCAATTCATCTGTGAATTGATGAAACCTTGCTGCCAATCTAGTACTGTGCTTATAAAGTCTAGGTACCATAACAAAGAGCTCATCTGAACAATCATCATGAAAGTATTTATAGAAAAGGTACAAGGAAGCTACATTATGGCAGTGAGAAAGTGACTGAAGCCAAGATGTCAGGTCAGGATCAATAATACTTCAGATTCTTCTTTGGATTTTATCAAGGATCTCTAGATATACAGCAGGAACACCGGGCCATCTGTGGCAGCAATATTCAAAGCATGGATGAATGGTAAACTTATAAATAGGTAAGATAGATTCAAGAGAGAAAAATTGTCTAGCATGTCACAGTGGACCAACTTTCTTAGCATCTGACCTAGCAATGAATTCAATATAATCTTTCCACTTCATGTCAGCCAAGAAGGTGCAACAAGTCACTCTCATGGAATTTAGTATCAGATGGGAGGCAGGAAGAGGGCATTCAGGTGATTGATAAAAAGGTTTCACTTTGTAGGTGTTAAAGTTAACAAGAGACTGTAGGTCATTCTTAAGATCTGCCAATTTAACCTTATCGAACTGATCATCATGAGTATTGAGCTATATAATAGATTTACATCTGAAGCTAGATTTTCTTCAGTCTTTACTTTGTTGGGAGATTTTTTTCTGTTTTATGAATTGCAGAGGCACCAAATATGATATAGTGCTTGTTATATATCTAGAGATTCTTGACCAAAATTCCAAAGAATCTGCAAAGTTTATCAATCCTGACTTTACATTTTGCCTTCAGTTACTTTTCCACTGCCATGTCTATAAATATTTTTACAGTAATTGTTTTGATGAGTTTTCATATTTGGTACCTAGACTTTACAAATTTAAGCACAATACTAAAGTGGCAACTAGGTCATGTAATTTCACTGTTGAAACTACTAGTTGTAACCATAATACCATGCTAATAGTTTCTTCCACTCTTCTTACTTCTAGAACTCTCTTCCAGTTCTCCTGTCAATTGTGATCTTCAAAAATTTAAATGCAATGTCAATTGTTGTCTTCTGTCTCCTTGAATCCTGTACTTTCATTGTCCTCTATGTTTCTTTCATTCACAGTAACCTCTTGCATCTTTAGTAGCTTTTATCACCTTGCTTTCGTTAAAATGATGTAACAGAGAATAAAAGACTTCGAGTTGGTTGTACATGCTGCTGTAAGCACCAGGAGTTGCGTCCCCTTTCACAATGGGCTGTTAAGAGAAGTCCTACTTAAGGTGGTGCAGACGATACTGGGCAGGTATTAGGCAATAGTCAATGTGGCTCTGAGACTGGAAGAGCTATATAACACCAGTGTTTTTCTCAGTTGAGAGAGGTGCTCTTGACAAGACAAACACAAATGATAAAAAAAACAAAAAAAAAAAACATTTCAACAGAAAGATTTAAGTAATCAAATTTTAAAATTAACAATTTTCATTTATTGGAATTAAGAGAATTGTTTTTGCATAAGAAAATTAATTATCATTTATTATTGGATTGTTTCTAAAAAAAAGTTTTTACCAAAAACTATTTATTGCAAAAAAAAAAAAAAAAAAAAAAAGGACTTAAGAAATTATATAAGAAATACTAGCAAAAAGTGTTTTATTCACTGTCTATAATAGATATCATTCATATGTAAATAAAGAAAAAGGAACAAACACATTTTTCAAGTCAAGTTTATATGCAAGTAAATGTTTACATTTTAAAAATTAACATATTTGATGACAAACAAAAAAGGTAGAAAAAGTTAACTCATTAAAAACAAAAAGAAGCTACTTACAACAACCATTTTGGCCTTTTTTTTCTACTAATTCTACTATAGCCTTTTTTATCTGCCTCTTTGTGTACCATATCTTTCGGTATGTAATTTCTTACAGTGTGCAAGAAGCATTTAAAATATTGGGTGGAGGAGTTGCACCTGATATGAAAATTAAGTGTTTTGACACCTGAAACAGCAAAGGTCAAGAACTGAGAGGAGTCATGTCTTCTGTCAATCAGGGTTTTGTTTTCTTTTATTTATATATATATATATATATATATATATATATATATATATATTATATAAAATAAAAGGTAAATTAAATTAAGACCAAAACGAAAAGAAAATCCTCATTCTGCTTATCTTGATTTTCTTCATGTAAAACAGAATATAGGTTATGTTTCTTTGAAGTCAAAGAAATTTGGATTATCTTTCCTTTGATTCAATCAACGTGCAGATTAAATTTCAAATTGAGTGACAAATAACACAATGGTGACAACATCAATTTGGATAATATTAAACCCAGAAAAGCCTACCAAGATCTTTTTGTTTAGAGACACAGAATTCAATTCAGTCAAAATAAATCTTAATTGTTGGTCTGTTCAACAGACACAAGTGATATAATTCTATGTTCAACACATCAAGAACATAATTCAAATGAAATTTCTTGTGATGTGCCCAAGTTTTTAATATGGTGGAGACGTTATTGAATTTTCAAATGAGTCCAGTTTGAAGTAATTTGAACAACAGAGTTTCTCTTATGAATTCTTTCAGTTCCACAGGATTTCAGAATCCAAAGCATGCTATCTTCAACAAGAATAGATATTTAAAACATTTGACATTTATCTATGGGTGTTTAAGGTGAAGGAATTCTGTGGCATTTAGAGAGAAATCTACAATTTGAACAAGGCACTCAAACTATGAGTGAAATTAGCAAGATTTTATCCACACCCACCATTTTTGTTTCTTTGACTGGAATCATATGGAAATGATTCTAAATAACATGCAGTATTTTTCAAATTCTTATTAGGGTTTTTTATTTCAGGAAACTGAAGCACAGTTTTAAGTTGAATGCTTAAGAGATGAAAACTAACATTTCATTTTAATAATAGTCATTACTATTTCAGTTTCTGCATTGAAATGTTTGTCATTAACTTGTTAACGAAAGCCACTAATTGTGACTGAAAACAGCAGAAACTTGTTTTTTGGCAACATTTACAGAATGTTTCATTTCTTTTTCTGCCAAAAGAAAATTTCTTACACTTGCAGTTTGAATAAATAATTTCTTCAAATAGATCAATACTTTATCATTCATCAAACTAATTTCCTGGAAAATGATAAAACTGATGATGTGTGTGTGTGTGTGTGTGTGTGAGATATATATATATATATATATATATATATATTAGTCACAGTCCACTTAGCAAATCAAGTTGAAGTCCTTAATTTAAATTATTTCTTCTACTTTACATTTCAATACAACATTTTCCTCGTGTAGCGAAGCATAAACAATCAAATTGCCATCAAAATTTTTTTTTGAAAATAAGGTCTGTTTTTCCAAGGCCTTGGACTGAGTCAATTGGCCAAGCAACCAAACTCTCACAAAATGTGGCATCGTAACAACAAGTAGAAGTCAAAGGAAAACAGAATGTTAAAATTGGAGACTTGTATGCCAAGATGGACATTCCAACAACACACAATGCTGCACAATTCTACTTCTAAAACCCCTGATATTTTCACAGTGTAGCTGTCAGCCAGAAATAAAAAATATGGCAACAGTAGTGTCCTTTTTGTATTAACAGCCATCCAAGCAAAGAAAACTCAAATGTTGCTTTTTACCAATAATAATAATTCCTAAGTCCAAAAGACAAAATGGAAAGTGCCAATGCTTTGCAACCATTTCTTTCTTTGAACACAGATTATCACAGATTTTAGACTTCGTCCTGCTGTGTACAGATTGGCCTCTTCTTTAGAAGCCAAGGTGGTAACAGATGTGGGCTATACAGTTTCATCAAGTTTTTCCAGTGGCAGGGTTCCAATTTCTGGATGATGTGGTCAGGAAGTGTCCATGTAGTTTTGTTTTCGCTGTCTTGAAAGTAGAGCTTCCAGCCAATGTTAGGATATTCAACCTTGTGAATCGTGTAATTGCCAGGAAGTCGAGATTCTAATTTGCTGATCCCGCACTTGCATCTCTCATTTTTTTCTAAATTCATTTTGAGCAGATGGCTCTGGTCAATGTTCATATTGCGCACATACGTATAACCAGAGTTAGTCAAATCGGATTGTCTGTCGATCAATTGGCTATTTGAAGAAAGATTGTTACCATTTGCATTGAATGGAGCTAAATAGTTACTGCATATTTCTGTCCTCCGCATCGGTAAGTTCTCTGGAATTCTTTTCATTGGGTAGAGGAGCCTGACATCTTTAACTTTCTCAATATTTTCAATTGGGTTCACTCTGTAGAATTCAATCAAACTGTCCAAAGAATTGAACTTCCCCATCTCCTTTAAAAGGCAGAAGGTCATTCGACCTTTTTCATCTTTCTCCATTTTTATGTTGATGTGTTTAATGTTACGGTCAAGCAACCTGAAATATAAAATACATAACATTTCTTGAATTTTAATATAAAATTTATTATAGGGGAATTAATTTATTACTTGGAGAGGATGGGAATTTCTGTCATTGTTTTAGGATTCATCTATGAATGATGGAATTTTTTTTACCACTGTTAATGGGGTAAGATGATAAAGTATTGGCATTATTGCAGGAATTCTTCAAATTCATATCTGCATTGCTTTGATCTTAGTTTTGACCCATATATTTAACAGCCTTCCTTTTGCATTAATAATAGTAGAATCAAATCTCTGATTTAAATATGTCTTCTTTTTTTTTTTTTTAACATTTACCAGCATTTCAAATTGAACAAGTCATAGATGAAAATAACAAAGACTATTATGAAAAGAAAAGAAAAACAGATAAAATAAAATTGAAATAAGAGTTGTGGAGTTCATCTTTAGAAAGGGTTTTGCAATATGTGTAGGTAGGCCAAAGAGTGCACTGTTGATGATAAGTGTTCACTTAATAAAATTTATTTATTCTATCAACCATCTGAGAACATACAGGGAAAATAAGGTTAAAAAAGTGAACATGGTCTTATAAAGTGGACATTGAAGTCAAAACCCAGAGCTTCTTGGTGTTGACTTCAATGTCCACTTTTATATTTACATATGCTCTATCTACCCTGATAATGAGCAATTTAACCCATAAATATAGCATAACTTAAAACCATATTTTATCATATATATATATATATATATATATATATATATATATATATATATATATATATATATATTACACACACACACACTACTGAAAAAAAAAGAAAAAAAAAAAGAGATTAAATAGAAAAAGAAAAAGGCAAAAAGAAAATGAAAAATGGAAAAAGAAAAGGGAAACAAAAGAGAAAGAAAGGGAAAAATAAAGAAGGGGAAAGGGAAAAATAAAGAAGGGGAAAGGGAAAAATAAAGAAGGGGAAAAAGAAAAAATATTCTTCAGAAAAAAAGTATGCTCACTCGACTGTTATGGACAAAAATCCTTTTCCTTTTGAACTTTTACGGACAATAAATTGTCCCATTTTAGGAGGTTTTGACTTTATGAATTTTATTGCCTGGAAAAAGAGAATTTTTTTTTAGTATCTGGAAATTAATATAAGTACATAAGTAAAAAAAAAGTTTTACATTCATTTATTAAATACAAAAACAATTACTGGGTATCTGGAAATTGAATGGTCTTTTGAGAAAAATAACCTGAATAAAAAAGATATGCTTTTCTTAAAAACAACAAATAGAGAATTGCTTAACTGATGTTCCTTGTAGTCTTTAAGAGGCTGATAGATGAAATACACAGTTTAAAATAAAAATGGGGCTTCAAATATGAGTGTCTATTATAATAATGTTTGAAGTGAGGTATATAAGTGGACATTAAAGTCAACAAATATTGCATAACTTAAAACAATATTTTATCATATACCAATTGTAACAGCAAAATTGACCAAATTGTGTTACAGCATAACTGCCCATCCCACAAAATGTTTAATATCTAAAAAAAAAAAAAAAAAAAAAAAAAAAAAAAAAAAAAAACAACCTAAACCAAGTTTCTTTTTCCAGGTTTTCAGATAAGACGTTTAGCCATCTTGATACCATTTGTCTTAAGAATCAGTGAAAAAACCCCTTTGAGTTATTCAGCTAGAAAGATATAGGTTAAAATCATTTTGTGTCAACTCCACTGTCTTCTCAACTGAGCAATGGTGAGAGGAAAAAAATCATTCAATCCATCATTAAAAGGTACCAACATTTATACTATGGCTTTCATCTTCAAAGTCCATTCAAGAACCATCAAGAGAATGGTAAATAAGTGTAAAAAAGAGGGAACAGTAGAGAGGAAAACTCAATTAGGAGGTCACAACAGGAAGAGGGATTATCACTTCAACTTAGAACTAAAGAGATCAATTAGAAAAGATCCAAATCAATGCATAAGATGTTTAGCATGTGAGAGAGGAGTCTCAGCTATGACAGTCCAAAGAGCAGTGAAAAAAGACTTGAAAATGAAATCATATGTGAAACATGTGAGGAACCTTGTTACTCCAGGACAGAAAGTTAGAAGGTTAGAGAGGGTGAAGATCACCTTGAATAAGTTGGAAAATGATCCTGGAATATATATATATATATATATATATATATATATATATATATATAAACTATATATATATCCTTAGCTATGATTACTTAATGATGAACATGTCATTTTTGTTTATGATTGATTTCCTCACGGTTCTTCTGTTAAGCCAATTAATTATACATTCTTATTGCTCAATATAGAATCCAATAGGGATATAAAAACTTCGGAGAATCCCAGTAAGATATCTTTAATCATTTCTAAGATATACTGGTCCAAAGCTTAATCTAACAATTGGACAATTTTGATTATATATATGCTCTATTCTGGATATTGACCACTATATATAATATATATACCATAGATATATTTTATTGTATATATGTATGCGATGGGTTTTGTCCTTTATTTTATATTTTTAATTTTGTGCACACACATTGTTTGTTTTTGATTGTGTTGACTGTATAGTATAGTAGGGTCAGTTGGGCACCATAGCCTTTACAGTGCCTTGTTGATAACTGGAGTTTATGGTATTTTGGGGCCTGCACCAGAACTGAACATTACCATCAGCCCAAAATAGAAACTAACTCTTCATGACCCTGCAACTCGTTTCCAGTTATCCAAAATCCAATTAGCAACATCGCAAGCCCAGGTGAGGTGCTGTGTCAATGGACACAATAGTAGGTCTTCTGTTCCCATATCCAACAGAAGCTAAAGAACACTCAACTGACCTACCAACTATGCATCCAATAACTACTGCATTGCATATAGTTATGATTTGAACTAGTGTTGCCATGTCTGATAATTTTAGCCAGATGTCTCTGGTCACAATGAAGGATCTGTAATCAGACAGTAATGTGTTCATTTAGGTAATCTCAGTACATACCCATGGCACTGTTGACTGAGGGATGTCAACTGTCCTCAAATTTCATGAATGATTATAGATTCTTTTTCATCTTGCACACACTATTATTCCCCATTTGAACTCCAATAATTCCCATTGCCTTACTACAAGCAGCCTAGACAATGTTAACAGTGATTTGCCATACACCAGAGCTCAACTGATAAAGTTCTGGGCATGTCCAAGATGTCAAGGTATGATGGTACCATCTCCCATTATCTTTATTTATTGCTTTTTTTACATGTCAGTGTATTACATTTTGTATGTAATATAATAGATATATATATGTATATATATATAAATTTTAATTATATATATATATATATATATATATATATATATATATATATATATATATATATATATATATATATATAAATTTTATTTTTTATTTTTTCTATGCTATATTTATTTGTGTGTCTTCAACATCAGAGATAGAGTGTATATATATATAGAAATTAAAAACAAAAAAAAATCAGGCTTTGTAAAATATCATGGAAAATACTAGTTTGAAAGAACATCAATAACAACAATCAATCCAAAAAATAGTTAAATAGCTTGGAGGAAAAAAAAATAGCTATTATTACATCTTCCCAGGTTAAATAAACAATCAGAACACATCTCAAAATGCAGAGATGAGAACAAATTTTTTGCATAGCTATTATTAAAAATTGAAAACTGAAAAGAATAAAAATAAATAAAGCAAAAATAAAACAAGTAAAATAAATTAATCCAAATAAATAATAAACAAATTAACAAACAACTTGTGTCAAAATAACCATTAGAATAAACTATCCACAATGCATCATTGACCTGTATGTACAGTCGAGAAAAAAACAATATATATGGCCTGAATATTAGGTTTAGCATGAAACATTGTCACCTTCAATGTTCACTTATATATCTCACACACATAAATGCTTCTAGACAGATTAAATATCCTACTGAATCTTAAAAATGTTTTTTGTTCAAAATAAATTAATTTTACATCAAATAACATCCTGTTAAAGATTTCTAATATCTACAACTGGTTGTAATTTTAACAATTTTAACTGATTTATAGTGATTTTCCAAGCGTAGTTTAGACATGGCACAAGGCTGAAAGTATGGGGCACCCAGTGAGGATCAAACTCACTAGTCAGTCATAACTGTTTTAGCGAAACAAGCTTATTAACCATTACACCATGCCGAGGTTCCCATAAATCTGATTTATAAGTTTGGCAATGAATCAGTTTTTTTTATGCTGCAGAATATTTTCCTTAATGAGAGGAAAGTTCTAATTGACTATTGCTCATCTAGTACTTTTCCCAGTACATTGTCTGTACCTTCAATCTTGTAAAACATAACGAAACTCAATCGGATTACGAATATATTTGATTTGTAAGCATCGGACAGAAGAAAGAAAATGTACAACTATCTCAGTGCTTCGATGGTTCTCTTTGACTAATGTTCATGTAACTGGTGCTTCCGATTGGATGCGTTGATATCCTTTTGGTTGCCCCTTTTTTTATGAGACCTTTGGATCTACTCTACAGATCTGAACCAACTTATAAGAAAAGTGATTGCTTTAAGAGGATAATTCATAGAGAAAGAAAATGAGTAAAGGCATTTGACTTGTTAATTGAAATTTATCAGATTTCTTTTTTATATACAAAATACATAATAAAAATTGTTTTTAAAATGAATAAAATTCTAGATCATAAAACCAAAATGTCTTTCTAATGACTGAATAATACAAGTTTCATGACTAAATCCTCATATTTACTGTTTAATATAAGAAAAGCAGTAAGTCAGTTGATGAGTAGAGAAAAATAATCAAATATTAATGTTATTTAATTATGATAAAGAACAAATAAGAACACTATTTATATTATTTGTTGCCATATTTATTACATTTCAGCCATATTTCTTGCATGTCAGGCCTTCTTCAGGGGGTTGGAATGTCAAAAAAAACCCTTTATTTTGCTCACTGGGGTGGAACTGTTCCCACGTGCCATGTTTAATGGATTCTCCTGTTAATTCCTCCCACTAACCAGGTATTGAACTCACACATTTTTCCCTGGATCTAACCAACATTCTTTATCCACTAAAAATGTGTATATAGCAATCTGGGGTTATAATCCCCAAGTCTTTACCACTGCTCATATTGAAATTTTTTTTTTTTATCAAATCATGTTTTTTTCCAGGCTCATATTGCAATTTTTTTTTTTTTTGTAATTATCATTTTTCTCAATTAGACAATAAAAAGAAATAGGATCAAGTTATCAATCTAAACTTTCAGATCAAAGTTGAACACTTGTTAAAAAGCATCAGAAAAAATGCAAAAAAAAAAAAAAAAAAAAAATGTATTTTTTTTTTTAAATTTCCTTGATGAGACAATCCGCAAAAAGTAAACAAATTTGTTAGTATAATTTGTGTTCAAAAATTATTAAAATATAATTATGATAATGTTATTCAAATGTTAATTATCTAAGAACAGGTTTTTCCTATTTCCCTTCATTATTCTATAATTGATAAACAGTGACCAATAATGATTATATAAATATTTAATATTGGAAAGGAATTCCTAAGCCTCATAAAAGTTTATGCTTATTTTTCACTTGCAATTTCATCAATTTGTAAATGTAAGAAGATCAAAAAAAAACAAGACAAAATTGTTTATCCAACACAGTCAACTCTGTTTTGGCTTTTTTCAAAAAAGATAATTGAATCTTTCAATTTCAGCATCATGCTTAAATGATATAGAAATGAAAAGATTAAAGTTGTTTTAAGTAAAAAGAATGAAAAAGCTATTACAAAAAAAAAAATCCAAAAAAAAATCGGAAGAAAAATGTCTTTGTTCTCTCAGGATGAGAATCTAAAAAGAGCAGTTTAATTTTGGTTCTGAAAATTAAAATCCCTCAACACACTGTCAAATCTGGTCTAGGTATTGTTCCACTGATTTGATATGATATCCTCTCAGGCCAAAGTCATGAACTGCAGGAGACAAAAAAAAAAACAATCAAATAATGCTCTTCATGATATTTTAAATATAGATAGTTATTTTTGTAATTAATCTC